AAACATTGCTTATTATGTTCCATTTCCCTCTCTGCTTCTTTGCCTCTTTGTTACTGTCCATTGGAAGGACTCCAATCTGTGGGGAAAAAACACTCTCAAATTTAAACTGAAAAACCTAAATGCCAGAAAAAGGCACAATGTCTCTTTAAGAGTCAACAGTAAATTAACTTGCCCATAAGAGTGCAATAATTAGCAGTTAGTAGCTTATTAAAAGGATGGCAAAGGCCAAGCTGCCATCTGGGATCTCCAGTTTCTTGTGATTGTTATTATGTCAAGATGTGCAACTTGCATTAGCTTTCATGTCACTGTGCTTGCCCTTACTTTACATGTAAATTTTAATGAAAGATACAGCACTTTAAAAATCAGACGTCCATCAAAAGTGCTATTAGTCTGCCTTTTACAAAGCATATGGCCTGTTTTGCTACCTCTGCATCTCTACACACCACTGAATGCCTTAAATGAAGAAAACAGAGGAAGAAAAAAAAAAGCCTTTCAATGATATCAATTAAATATTCTCTTTGGGCAGAGTAAAACCTGAGCCTCATTGAAAACAGAAGACTACAATACAGCATAAGAGGACAATATTTTAGCTTGTGTTTACACACAACACGACCACAATGCCTTTAACAGGAATCATTCTTCGTAATAAAAATGAAAGCAAATGAAGAATCAGCTGTTTACTCTAACATTCACATGTTAGAAAGTCACAGTTTTACAATAAGGCAGAAAGAAAGCATGCAAGAAAAAATAAATTACCTATAAACGATGAAATACTTAACACATTATTAAATATTTTATGCATACACATTATTTGTAAACACACATGCTCATATGCACAAACAAAAAATAATTTACCAGAAATGTCCTATTTAATGTCTCATTTGTCTGCCTTCATAAATATATTACAAAGAGGTGTAAAAAGAAGAATGTTTACTAGACATCTATTCCTTTGCATTAGCTGATACTCAACATTTAAGTGACTTCATTCACCAACGTTTGGAAAACGTCATCACCTCTGGAATATAAAGAAATAGGATAAACACCTTGCAGAAATGTCCCCCAATATCTTACATTTTAAATTCATCAACTATCAATCATCTGTAATTAGGCTTATAAGAATTACATTAAAACATTTGTTTCTTTTCAAAATAAAATATGAAACCAGCAGCAAAAATTTGCTTACAAAAAATGATTCCAGAAGAGTGACATCTACATTCAAGGGGCCTTGATACTATCAAAGAGGTTTCACAGATTGGGAATGTGCTAACCATAAAAGGCAATGCTTTATTTTTTAAACAGTCATTAAGAGGAAAATTAAAACTGAAAGTCGCCATCCTTATAATAATGGAGGATTTTTTCCCCACCAAAAGGAAAATGAATCCAATACCACACACATTTTAAAAGTATTAAGGAAAGGACTGTCAGTGCAGAAACCCAAAACATACAATATCCACATTTAAAACCCAAATATTAAGATATTTTACAGGGCAAAGCAGAGCTAAAAACCACTGTCAAGGTTGGCAAGATGAATGTAGTGTTGTTTTTCCCCTTCTATAATTAGATATTTCTAGAGCACAAATAAGTTAATTTGTTACTGATGTTTCACTTCGACATTTGCATAAACTCTTGGCCACTCAGATGGACTTATTCACATCACTCTGAAATCCTAATGGTATTACTGGGGAAGACCAACTCGAAATTATTTTCCAGATCAGTAAGGTCCAGTCATTTCTTTCTATCTGAGTCCACAAATGCTATTTCGTGTTTTCTGTGCCATTACCTCCTGGTCAATATTATTGAACAATTCAAAGAAATAACAACCTCACACTGCTCACTGAGAGCAATGCTGAACATTACAAGACTTAAAAGACCTACTTGGGTTAAGAGCAGTTAGGACCAAGGGAGATAATCTGATCTTGCAATGCTGAGAACTACACGGGGAATTTGCCAGTAGACTTTGGTCTACACGACATGCATTAAAAATGTCCCAACCATGAAATATGTGAACAGTCTTTCATTTCTCCCTGAGAATGGAGAAAAAATCTGCTTCATGTTGAAAATGCGTGTGCAGATGTGCAGTTTTTCACCCTGAGCACAGCTACTGATGGAGGGAAGGAGCCCAGTGCCTTAGAGGAGAAGCAGCAGTCTACAGACTGCACAGGTGCTACAGAGGTGTCCTGTGCACACCCAGAAACCAGCCACACCTCACTGTCATTCTGTGTGTCAGAGGGGACGTTTGGGACTTTTCAGCTCTTTGGGTGAATCCTGGCCCACTAAATTGAATGTGAATTTTGCTATTGTCTTCAAGAAGACACAGGGCTTCATTCACTGAAAATAGCAGAGTCCCACCAGGAATACAGCCAATTTCCTCTGGAGGCATGAACTTCAGTAGAAGCCAGATCCAAACCAAAAGTGATGGTAAAACAAAACTCACTACATATATAAGAGAATGGTGAAAGGTAGCAATAAGGAAATTATCATTTCCTTAACAAAGGCTGTCAAGAGAACAAATGATATGGAAGAATGTGACTACACATTAACTCCAGTTCAATAGCAAATTAGAGTTGGATATTTATGATCTCCTTTGGTATCATTTACTTGTGGGGGAGTGTTAGGGAAATAAACTCAATATAATTGTTCCTTAATTGTCAATTCCACTCCAGAAGAGAAGTCGTATTCAGCAATTCATGCCAAACTAAATAAAAGTCATCCCTTCTCATCATACATTTACCTCATCTCCATGACCAGTTGCATACACCTAATAAAAACACAAACAATGTATATATACTCAGTTCAGGTTAAAATGCAAGCAGTCCTCAGGTGCTTTTCTGTATCTCAACTACTCCAGCCACCACCCCAGAACAACTATACATCATCTTCTTCAGCTTTCCAGGAACTTAAAAAAAAAAAATCTCCTGAACTTTTTAAAAAGGATAGATGCAGAAGAAGCCTATTTACTACAGTGGAAGCAACTAATGAAAGACTTGTTTCAAATGATGAATGCAAGGTCACAGACTGCTATACGTTGTGAAGAGGTTTTATGAAATCAAATACATCATATCCTTTGGCTACATATGTGGCATGACACAGAGTGGCTGCCAGTTTTCACTACAAACTACAAGAATGCCAAAAAATATGAACCTTCCAGGTACAATCACTAAGGCATCTGGTACCACCTTCTCTGTGAGCTGAAGGCCATGTGTGGGTTCAAAATTACACCGCTTGAGTCCTCTGAAGGTAATACCATTTTTCATACAGAATGATGGGTCTCCGATCAAGTCACTTGCTACAACTAGAGCTAAAAACTACACATAGTTGGGAAGTGAAACAGTATTTTCACTCAGTGACACAATAAATTAAGTTTCAGTGCATATGAATTAATTGTGCACTATATATTATAATCCTCATTCCTACAGGCTCAACTGGGAGTTTTGCTTCAGAAAAGACTTTCAGTTTAGTCCTGCACAGACTGGCCTGCAGCACAAATGACACCTGAGAAAAGAAGGGAGCAACATGAGCTAACATCACGCCATACAAGACTCACCCTGATCTACGCTGACCCTTAAATCACACTAAGCCATACATCAGCTAACTCAATTACTGGCAGCTGTGTTGAGGCACAGTGACATTTTATATGGTGTGCTTAGAGCTTTAGGTTCTCACATTTTTTACAGTGTATATATGTGATTATTATGTTCTGATGTTCACCTCTTGCTAAGAAGATAGCTCTGAGTACAGCTTATGTATTATCCTCCACTGCCCAACTTTGGATAGAATAGAAAAGCTATGAAATTAATGATTGGAATATTCTTTCAACCTCAAAACAGAACAAATAATATTGATTACATGATGCACTCTATCACAGAGAATCCAACAATACAACCTTGTTAGAAGAAGGAAGGTCATCAGAAAGAGGAATCATACAAAGAGAAAGTGTTTAATATGCCACTGTGCTCCCCAGAATTCAGGTATTACAGGAGGAGTGATCACTGGGCAGAGACTGCTTGTGCCTCAAAGGAAAGTTATTACGAACAAATCTTCTGAGCTCTCGTATCCTCCCAAATTCATAGTAGTACAATTAGTCATTTCATCCCCAAACGTCTTATTGGCACGGACACACCCAACATCCTCCAGTGTGTTCAAATCATGCTGATCAATAGATCAGATTCTTCAGCAGTGTATTTGTTGAAAAGGAGTAAGCCTCAGCATAATAAAACCTTTTGATCTCTCTCTCTCATTGGAAAAATAGGACAAAGAAATGGATTTTCCTCAAGCAGTGCTTATAATTTATCAATTAATCTTCACCCTTCCCTCCATTCCAACTGGAGACCCACAGCAGGTTTGCAGCATTTTGCCTTTTTGACAGTTTTGATTAGGGATGGATGACTGCCTTCTGCATGCTAAAGATAGATGTGAACTGTGCTGTACTGAGCTGCAAAGGAAATGGACCTCGCTGTTTAGCAGTGCTGATCACTTCTGTTTCCTCTGCAGTTTTTTGCAACTCAATTTCTCTTTGAAAAATACCTTTTCACTAACAGAGAGGATGGGAAGCAGAGCTGGGGGGAGAAATGACAGCTCAAAAGACCTCCATCATTGAAGGGTCCTTCTTCCACCAACACCAGTGCCAAAATGCTCAGGACTGGCATCACTCCAGTGCAAGAGAGTCAGCAGCACCAGCTGACTGGCCTCTGGCTCTGTCTTTGACTGAACTGATGGTGCCTTTGCACCCCAGCATCACCAGCTATGGACAGCCTGACACCGTGCAGCCGGTACTTAGTGTGAACAGGGAAAAAAATAACATCTGTTAAGAAGGCCTCAAAGCATTCATCTTAATCAGTATTTCTTCCATAATTCAATATAAAACAAAAAAATTGTTAAGAGACTTTTAAAAGTAAAGGCATTAAGCTCCAATATGAACCACACTCATAAAAACACAATCTGTCCATTGACAAACAAACATTTTACAAGCAATGAAGTCTTAGAAAGAATGCAATCTCTACCTTTACTTCTACCTACAGACAGGAAGGTGTGTGTCCAGTTAAGAGGAGGAACAAGAGGGATGTCCATCATGGAGGAGGCAAAAGAGAAGAGAAGGAGGAAGCATAAAAACCAGAGAATTATGTCACTGGCCATACTTAGAAAAACAAGAAAATGAGTGTGTTTATGTAGCAGCCAAACCCAACAAAACACAACGTCAAGGGAAAAACAAAAGACACACCACAACTAAAGCACAAAGCAAGGCTTAAACAACTGACAGCACAACTAGCAACTGCCTGGTTAAGCCCTTTGGCTTTAATTTGATTTTCTACTGAGAAATGCAAACACCTCATGCAATAGCATGCCATTGATATGCCTCATTCCACGTCAAATTCAAAACAGCAAGGGAAACAACAGAGTAGGACAGAAAAAAAATAAATCCCATGGTAATATATTTGCTAAACACATTTCACCTACCAGAGCTAATGTATTTGTATATAATGTTGACATTGCATATTTACTCACACATATACATTTACATATTTATATCCATAATATTTTTATAGAGAATAAATATTTATCAGAAGGGAATATCTGCGAGTTGCTTGGCAAGAAAAGAGAAGCCACTGTTTCCTGATGCATCATGGATAAACAAGGGTGGCTAAAGTTGCCAGAAGCCAATAGTTTTCACATTTTTTTGCCAGGCAAGGGACTATAGAAAGGACTGATGACAATCATACAGGCCTGAATAGGTCATGCAAGTCTTCATGAGCCAGCTGGGTTGCAACTTGTAATTTAAATGGCCAAGTGCATCTGTTTATATAATCCAGTCCTAAATCACAGACTGCTACAAAGATATGTTCAGTGTCACTGAGATTGAAAGTGGCCATGTAAGTTCACTGTCCTGATCACTCCCAACATGCCATCATCCTTCCTTTGCCAACGGCTTGCCATGCTCAGCTGCATCCTGAGCAACTAGGACATACTGAAGGGACCTGTCTGCTGGATGCTCCTTCAACAAGTATGACCTCTGAGCCACGAGCCCAGCTGAACAGTAAGTGAGGATAGAGAAAGAGCTCAATGCTTCCCAGAGCTTAGCCGGGTGTTCCACATGCCAAATACCATGGTCTTGACATGCCCTCATAAAAAGGCCTGTCTTCCTACTTTTCCCACCACATAGGGATGCTAAGCAGTACAGAAACTGAAGAGTGAACCCCAACTTTACTTCTGATTGTTTCCTAAGCTCTCATGACCTCAGAGCAGACATCTGCCTTGAACTACAGAATAAAAACTGATTATGTCCTAAGCCTCTCTACATTTCACTGAGATACATAGAGAATATGCCTCTTTTATTCAAGTACCTAATTACTCTTGAGCCTTCACAGACACTACATTCCATCTTACCAATTCTTTGGACTGTCTAACCTCAGATACATGTTCACTTAATGGCAAAAACACTATTGTGTACATCTAGTCTAGGAAAGCCTCATCAGCCTTTAGGGTCAGAACTCACATTTTCTCCCTGTCCTGGTTTTAGCTGGGATAGAGTTAATTTTCTTTCTAGTAGCTCGTATAGTGCTATGTTTTTGATTTAGCATGAGAATAATGTTGATAACACACTGATATTTTCAGTTGTTGCTAAGCAGTGTTTAGACTAAGTCAAGGATTTTTCAGCTTCTCATGCCCAGTCAGTGAGAAGGCTGGAGGGCACAAGAAGTTGGGAGGGGACACAGCCAGGGCAGCTGACCCAAAGTGGCCAAAGGGGTATTCCATACCATGGGATGTCATGCCTAGTATATAAACTGGGGGGAGTTGGCCTGTGGGGGGGAGCACTGCTCAGGAACTAACTGAGCATTGGTCGGCAAGTGGTCAGCAATTGCATTGTGCATCACTTGTTTTGTATATTCCAATCCTTTTATTATTGTCATTTTATTATTATTAGTTTCTTCCTTTCTGTCCTGTTAAACTGTCTTTATCTCAACCCACGAGTTTTACTTTATCTTTCCTGATTCTCTCCCCCATCCCACTGGGTGGGGGGAAGGGAGCTAGCAGCTGCGTGGTGCTTAGTTGCTGGCTGGGGGTAAACGATGACACTCCCTGTAGACAAAGAGTTGGTGTGGTCTTCCTAGTGCACCTAGTGCACACACCTTGCATTAAGTCTCCAACATTTTCACTCCTGCATTCACAAGACTAGAATGCATCACCAGTGCTGCTAAGTCCTCCTTGTGCACCCATGTCAGCAAGACGCTAACACCGTCAAACAGAATCACCCCTCTCCTCACCTCGCCTCACCTCACCAGCTTCTTGCTCCACACCCCCATAGTGCAAAATGGGACTAATGATCCCATCGTGTCACAGCCAATAGATCTGTAACGCAATCCAGGCTGAGATATTAAAATGTAACTCTGATAGAGGCCTAGATCCCATTTGTAGCCCAACCTGGGGTTAGCCCTGTTCTTTTTCTAAACCATTTTGCTCTGTGCATATTTGAATATTTTAAATTGCAGACACACAACTTACAGGCCATTATATGCAATTTTCCTCAGGATTCATAATGAGTTAGGATCATGCCATGAGGGCTATTAACGTATTTTTTGTAATAATTGCACTCTTAAAAATAAAGACCAACATTGAGGTCTACATTTACCGGGCGGAAGTGGGAGTCATTACAGCTGGCACAAGAAAGAAATAGCAAGATAAAATAGTTGATGGGCTGCATGGAAGGGGGAAGCATACCTCATTACTGTCCATGGAATCATTTCATGCTCCCTTCTGGGCACCTGAGTCCCAGGCTGACAAGCAGCCATGGCTCATGGGACACAGAGACAAAAATGCAAATGGCTTCACTGGCACCCAGTAGGCTTAGTTGCTTTTGTCATGCAAAGCTCAGCTCAGAAAAGCAGCAGGGACAAAGCTCTTTCATGATCAGTGACTGAAACAAAGAGAAAGTTGAAGGACTTACCTTGTTCACCCATCATCAGGTGTGAGAGGCCTTTGAAAGAGAGAGAGAGAGAGAGAGAGAGTAAGAAAAAAAGAACAAAACAGAAAAAGAAGCAGCAATATCCATGCACACTGGTCCAATACCTCTCAGGATTGGAGATCACATACTTGAACTAGACCAAGTATGGGTGTAGCAGACAGGGCACACACATATGCAGGCGCTGCTTTCCACACTGAGCAGGAAAGCATCTGTCACAGGTAGAAAAAACCTGCTGGTAGTTGCAGAACTGTGTTTGAGGTTCATCACACCTCTTGGGGAGCGATTCCGGAGGCACTGCACACCAGTATGGTTAAATGGGGCTAGGGAAGCCAAGGTCTGCAGTGGCGCCCTGCAGGGAGCATTCGCTCCTCTGGTGAGCTATAGAAATAACTTCTCCTCAGCTAAAGATTGAAATTCAAGGCTGCAGTGGTCAGTGAAAGGGAGGCCATGATCCCACCACATCTGCTTCAGACAAAATATCCGGGCTAAATGCACGCGCACGCACACACACACAAAGCTATCCTCATTCCTGAACGTGGTGGCTTCACCATGTATTTTTAGGAGCCAATCAACACCGCTCACACTTAGTAATTATACACCAGTACACCAGACCTGGCAAGGACTAAAAAATTTACCTGTAACCTATTTTTAATCCTACTCCATTTCCTTTCTGGGAAGAACTGGAGATTAAAACTTCTAAGGGTAGTGTGTTACTTTATGGCTCTATAGCTAAAGCTACTCTTTGGTTTCATAATTCCAGGTAAAGCCAGAAAGCAGCACAGCTCCCGTCAGCAGTGACAGTCACTGTCAGCTCTATAGATAGGGCTGTGGTGGTCACCTGGGCTGCTCCAGTCTCTGTCCAATAACTCTTTCTGGCATAAACCTTGTTTGTTTCAATTTAAATCCATTTCTAGCCCAAATTTTCAACTATGTTTACTGTATAACTGTATTCATACAAATATTGTTTAAATACTATTGTATATATATATTCATGCCCAATCCATTAAGCATCAATTGACCCATTTGTTAATTTTGTGACACACGATATCACAGAACTAACATAACAAAAACCAAGTCCTACCCACTCAAGCCATGCGTGACCCCTTTCGTACTTGGTTCCCTGACCTTCTTCCCTTAGCTTGATTCCTCCTCCACATCTCCCACCTCTCACAGCACTTAGTATGGCAGGGATTTTGATCCATGCATACACACCCCACTCACACACCCTATCTTAAGTGAGTTTATTAATCAAACAGGACTGTGACTTTTTTAATTTCATGGAGACTGAGAGGTCAAATGAATTTATTGGAATAAGAATTTTCAAAAAGCAGCACGCTGAGTTTGAATTTGTTCATTTCTCTCACTTTTATATTTTTGCTCTGCGTCTGCTGGAGAAATCTAAAATCCAGATCATCCCAAGAATATGTTCACCCACAGAGAACTCCAAGCCAGATAAGGGGATTAATAATTGTACAGTCTAAGGAATGCAAATATCTTAATGTTCTTGAAGATTATTGTGGATTTAGAAAAATAATCAGAAACACAACATAGGTTTAGATTTTTTTAGGTTTTTTTAGCTATAAATAAACATAGCAGATTTGAGACTGTAGGACATATTTCTGGTCTAAATTACAAGATATAATTTCACTGAATTGTTTTGCTCTGCTAGTAGAGTGGGTTGAATTTGTGTCTCTCTTTATGGCCACTGACCCCATCATTCTTGATAGGCAAATCTTAGGTCTGTCCAAATGGGCAGCTGGAAGTCACTGTAAAAGGCACTGTAAAAGTCAAGAAGACAAAAGTATAATTGTTAGGACCTAAAAAGCACAGAGACCCTGTAGCAATGGTGAAAAAGGAGAAAGGTAAAGAAGGTGGCAGTATGACATGCAGCTGAAGCTGGCCGAACAGGGAGGGGACATCAGACCCAGAGCAGAGATAGAGAGGTCCCAAGCCCTCAGGCCTCGTACACCGCAGAGAAGGAAAGCCATGGCTAAGAGGCACAGCACCAACAGGCGCAGCTGCTGGGGATGGCAGGGACCTTGTCCACTTGGGGAGGTGGGACACTGACAAAGAGAAACCTCCAGAGAGGTTTCAAAGCAAGAGCCTGCATTAAACACTCTGAATCACACCGTAACACGATCCCTTCTCTCTCCACCAGCCACAAAGGAACCACAAAAATCTCAAAATGTCAGGAATGTCAACACCTCTTTTGTACGTATTCCAGGAAGGCCAATGCTGTGTGCCCTATCTGTCAGGCGCATCAGCCAGGTGCAGCCCAGAGCCAGAGCCTGCAGTCCAGGAGTGAGAACGCCCCCCAGATGTACCCACCGTTCTGGCCCCCGGGTTGGCCCTGGTTCAAATGCCTGCAAAAGAGAGTCTCCCTAAGAAATGTTCTGACTCTTTCTGCTTCTTGACAAATTTGAAATACAACAGCAGCTGTGGTATTGTATGTACCTCTTGATCTTCCAGTCCCAAATGAACAATGGAAGTAGGGAGATTAGTGAAAAATAATGTCCCTCCCTCACCCCACTACTTTTTCCTTTTTAAAACAGGAAGAAGGGGGGTGGACTTGGAGATATAGCAAAAACCCAATATTATCTCTTAAGTTGTCCATCAACACAGATCCTTATTTTAACAAAGAGAACACCAACAGAATTCCAGATTCACTATTAGATAGAATAATATAAATAATGAAATAACATATCAGCTTTTGTCATCTGAAAATTTTCCTCCCTTGCAATTTAAAGTAGGAGTGAAAATTAGTGTATTTATCTCCAACAAAATTTCATTAACAACCAAAACCTTCAACCATTGAGATCTAAAATCTGTGACATTTGCAGCATGTGTAACAAAGGCCCGAAATTAGTCACAGTAAAATCAACACGGAAAACATGAACTGACATCATTGTCTCACCTTTACATCAGTTTCAAGACATGACAAGACACTAAAACAATTCTCAAATGATAAAAGTCAAAGTCATCTCAGGGTGGCATGGGGCAGCACTTGCTATTGGACAACAACAAACTAATAGGGCATCCAACAAACCAATGCAAGAGGCATGGGAATTGTTCAGACCTGCAAACTAGACCAGATTTTGTCAGAACAGGGGGGACACCTATCACCATGCTATTTGGGCATCAACCATAAAGGCCAGCAAAGCTTTCAGCAGGATGCTAAATGAACTCATCAGGCCCCAAAGCACGTTATCCACATGCACAACCATTGTTTGTGCCAACAGCCATCCCATTCCAGGGGAATCCTGTAAGAAAATCTGAGTTTCCACCTAAATCCAGGTGAAACATGCTTTCCTTTTAATCTTAGATTTGTTCAAGAAACCCAGCTTAAAGCCTAGGGCTCCAAACCCAGTCAGTGTAGAACTGGGAAAAGGTTGACACAAACCTGCATAAGCCACAAGGGTCAAGGGGTTGTGTGCTTTTTCTAAACCAGTCTAGTCATTCTTATAATAACCTACTGGCTGGGCACAACCGTAGCCAAACAAAAATGGTGGATAGCAAGTACTCCAGGAAAGGTTTAGGAAAACCTCTTATCTGCCTGCAAAGAAATTTTATGTCAAAGTCAGGAATCTGGTGACTTGCTATTCCTGAACTTCAAACATGAGTGACAGTAAGGACAAGCACGTGGCTTTGGAAGAAGACTCTCAACAGGTTTCTTAGATAATTATAAGCATCTGCTTGTGCTCAGCCTTTGGACCCCCAGCTTCTTCAGAGTTTCATCAGTAATGTGAAGAGAAAGTGGCCTGCTTCTTCAGATCATTGGTTTGTTATTAAAATAATATGTCCATTGCTGAGGGCAGACAGACTTATAAACTCTGCTCTCTGGCCATGATTTATGCCTGCCACAACTGACTCTTCCTATTTAGGTCTGGAAGGTTTTTTGGTATTTCTTTAACCTACTGCCAAATCAGTATTATTTTCTTAAAGGTTAATATTAATCTTCCTTGATCTCAAAGTAACATTTCAAAGAACTACTTTTTTTTTTTTTTAAATTGTGAACCATCTGCTTTCTATATCAAAATAGTAAAATAAAGTGGCTCTAATTGTACAAAGTATCAAGGGCCAACGCTGGATTCTTATGAAGCCAGAAAGACATCTTTAAAAGTAGCTTCAGAGTACAATGATATGAAAGAGCAATGTAGTTAAACAGCAGTTCTCATCTTTAAGGATTTACTAGGGGCAATTTTCAGGGTGGAGGAGAAAATGAAGGAAACCTTGGAAGCAGTTTGAACCTCGCCCCCACTGTCCCCACCCCCAGCACCACATTTGGGTACTTAGCACTTAAAATGGAAAATAAAGCCACAAAAACTAAGAAGGTGGGGAGAGCACAAAACATATCTCAGTGACAACTGATTGCAGCAACAAAGGAAGATGGACTCCTTCATCTAGTTAATTATAGCTTGCCCCATGTTACTTGGCCCATGCTCGGGGGGGG